TTCTAACCTAAAGCGCTAGAACATTCGTGACTCCGCTAACTGTGAGCTGTGCAACAAGTTACAAACCCAGCTACACGTTTTTTCCAACTGCAAGGTAGCCCTAGAACAACAACGCTATACTTGGCGGCATGACTCGATTCTGATGACTATTATTCATCACTTAAAAGTCGCAGTTGGTGCAGATCTTCGACTGTTTGCTGACTGTCCTAATTCAGGTACGACCTGCACTTCAACTTTATTTCGAACGCTAAGACCTGATATAGTGGTGGATTTTAAGGGTTCTGTATATGTGGTCGAATTAACTGTTCCCTACGAAACCAATTGTACGAAGGCTAAACGTCGCAAGAAAGAAAGATACAGACATCTAAGATCTGAGCTGATCACGGCGTGGTATGCGTTTGAAGTTATTACACTTGAAGTAACCACTCTAGGGTTTGTGTCGAAAGATATTGACAGATTTCGTAGATTATTACGAACACTTGAAATGAACGACGAACGTATTATTAAAAAATGTATGGAGGTAGCTCTGAGAGCAACATTCTACATTTACTGCAGAAGAAACAAGCCGTGGAATAATCCAGACTTACTGAATTTTTATTAGCTACTATTGATACAAAGTGTAGAGAATGGACCTATCTGTCTAACATAGTGAACTGTTTATCTATTTTCCTGATTTAATTGAAAGTCTAATTATGTGATATATTTGTATAAATTATCATGTTATTAATAAAGATTTCTGTTGTTTAAAAAAAAATTATTATTATTATTATGGCTTGAAATTCCAATCTCAGAACACTAAGTACTGTTTTTCTAACTTGTAACAAATTTGGTCAAAGTATTTATCCTCCATCGGTGAAATTTATCCAATGCCAAACAGTTCTTCGAAAAGCTTTAAAACTTTCTCATAATCAATCAATTAACGAACTGTGGAAATCTACTGATACTCATACTAATATCCAATACGACTTTTATAACTCAACCAAAGAAGTGCTTAAAGATTTTCGCTCTGAACATGAAGATAAACTCAAAAACGAATTAACTTTTCTCTTATGTAACAAAGTTCTCCTTGTCGCATCTTAACAAAGTGTGGTCTACTGCTCAATCAAAACTTCCGAAAAACATTTATAACTTTATACTATACGCTATATCAATAACTCTCTTCCGACACGTAAGAACCTTAGCAGATGGGGATTGTCTTCAAGTTCAGAATGCTCCTTTTGTCTCGGCCCAGAATCATTACTGCCCGTCGTCGCTGGATGTCAGTGTTATCTCGATCGATTTAAGTGGAGGCACAATTCAATCCTGAACTTTCTTGCAAATACCTTGCAAACTGTGAACGGTTCTGCCCTCTACGCTGATGTGCCTGGATTCAAAAGTCCGTCAATAATAACTGGTGATACGTATCGCCCGGATTTGTTGCTATCATTATCAAATGGCTCTCTCTATGTGGTCGAGCTTACTGTTGGCTGTGAGACAAGCCTCGAGAACAACGTTAAACGGGAAAAAGCCAAATATAGAGAACTAGTAAGACAGCTAGATGAAAATTTTAACGAAGTAAACTTTGTTAATCTTTCCATGAGCTCCCTAGGTATTTTTGCGCAAGAATGCTCTACATTCTTAGAAATGTTAGGAAATGTTGGTCTCGACAAAAACTACCGAACCTTATGTGTTAGGAAAATGATGACTATTGCCATTCGAAGTACTTATTACATTTTCTGCTGTCGAAATAAGGAATGGGAAAGTCCGGACTTGTTAACTATTTGAAATATTTGATTGTCTTGTATATTTATATATTTTCATGTATTCAGTTTTGTCATTATTATTAGTTCATGGTTGTGATTCAGATAGCCAATTGTAAATTACCTTAATTAGTGAGATTTACAATTGTATATATATAGCATATAACAAAATTATTAAATAAAGTTTCCATTATTATTATTAGTATATAACTTAAGTATAAGGATACATGTGTTTGGTCGCTAAGTTGCCTGTTTTGTTGCAGAATTGAAGGTTTAGTTTTTAAAATTTTGTTTTTAAATAGAAATTGTAAAGTTTTCAATTGCAACTGATATACATGATAACGACATTCGTCGATTATGGTCTTACAATAGTACATCTGGGGGAAAATACGTCTATATGACACAAGGTAAAGTAATAAATTTAACAAATTCTACTCTATATTTCCAATATTATTGATCAAGACCCTTCATTGTTTACTTCAATTCACGACAATCAATTATCTAGTGTCTTTATGCTAACCCTTGCGTCCTATTGTTCTGGGGCCGGATGTATAAAAACGTAGTTAGCGCTAATTGTAGTTAAAAAGTAGTTAAAAAGTAGTCAACTTTAATTACGTAGTTAGGCCGGTTGTATAAAATTAAAAGTGCAGTTAGCCCTAACTGCAGTTAAAAAGTAGTTAAAAAGTAGTTAAAGTTAACTATATGCTTTAGGGTATAGTTAACTATCCAAAACGTAGTTAAAATTGGCGTTTGTATGAGAGTAAACAACATTTTTCAGTGAAACAACAACGAAAAGCAACGCTTACGTTGGATTTTCAATTGTTATCTTCCATGTGTATGTTTTCCGACAATATACTCTTCAAACGCTCTCGCTTTAGTGTTTTTGCGAAAACAGAGCATATTTTTGCACAGGACGATTTCTCGAAGACGAAGTATGGTCCATTGCGCCAAGGAACATTGATATATAATTGCCAAATAGCCACACCTTGGTTTAACGTAGACATCTCACGGAAAAACTGCCTTCTTTTATGATTTTTGTGGTGGTTTTTCAACTTTTTCCTTGTTTTCTTGTTTATTTAAAAATGGGTGTCAACGGTCGTTAATCACTGCTTACTTTATGTTTACAGTCGTGCCAATAGAAGCGTTTATGTTGACCAGTTCATTTCCTAACTTGAAGGAACACCTCTGAACAATTCCTCAACAATTTGATAAGTTCCTTAAAAAATTCCTAACTTCCTGTTTCACTGACCAATCAAATTTTATATTTTATTTTTGAACAATCTGATTGGTCAATGAAACAGGAAGTTAGGAACTTTTTAAGAAACTTATCAAATTGTTGAGGAATTGTTCAGAGGTGTTCCTTCAAGTTAGGAAATGAATTGGTCAACATTTTTCGGCTTCTATTGGCACGACTGTAAACGCCCCACGCACAGTTAACTACGTGATAAGTTAACTATCCAACTAACTACGTTTTGTGCAACGCAGTTAAGTCATGTAGTTAACTAATTACAGTTAAGGATTTAACTACAGTGATTAACGCTAACTACAGTTAGCGCTAATTACGTTTTTATACAACCGGCCCCTGGTAAGGAGTGAACAAGTTACATTGACTGTGACTTCCGTGACTGCGTTTTTATTGGTGATCCGGTTTTCATTTCCAGGTGGTTCTATTTATAAAGTGGAGGCAACTGGCGAATCTGAAGGTACAAATATTCGTGATACAATACTTCAAGAATTAAGAATAGTTATTAATATTAGCATATACTCGGGAGGTGGATATTGCTTTTCGCGCATTTGATTGGGTGCTCAGCTCCGGATATCCTTGCACTTTTCTCATCCTGACAAAAACAAAATGACTTCTCCTTTCGTTCCGATTTATATACAGATGAGTAAATTTTTGTATGCTAGAAGAAGCTGCGGTTTCGCAAAACAGGAAAAAAGCCACAAAGTTTTGTTTAACAGTTTGTAGAGGTATTCTTTAAAGCTATTTCTAATTAATAAAATTACTAAAAGCGTGTCAATACAGTTATGTTTACAACCGCAGTGTTGCTGGAGTGAAGAACAAATTGTGTTAAAAATATTTTCGTTGTTTCGTGGTCATTTTTGTTTTGTTGTGGTATATGCTAAAACAATTATTCACCTCAGTGTCGGTTAATAGTACCTCCAGTTCGGTGAATAATTGTAAACTATTTTATTTTCAAAAACCATCCCACAAACATTAGTCATTTTTAGTGCTTCTTCCTATCAGGTTCCGAAAGCTATTCAGGCCCCACTGTAAAATGCGCTTCATGGTTATAGTAAGAAACAACAGCAAAATCTATGCAGTATCTTGTTCATCATAGCCGGGACGTTGCCAGCCTTAAACGAGTGGGAGGTGGGGGTGCAATCGTGGACTAGGGGTCCGACCTTTCGGAGGCATGATCAACCAGAAAATTTTAGTTTAGGATCTGTGAAACGCTATTTCATACATTTTAGACACGTTTTATGATAATCTGAAAGCCACAGATTTGTAATATTTTATGTCATTGATGAAAGTATTACGAGGTTAATTAAGCTCCTCGCCCCAGTTTTTCATCAGTTTTGGAAGAATTACAAAATTGTGCCTAAATTACAAAATTGGTCACAATAGTCCCCCTGCATCATACATTACTTCACATATACAGTGGAACCCCGTTAATGCGACCACCGTACGGCCAAAATATTTTGATCGTATTAATTAGCGGGGCGGTCGTATTAACGAGAGTCAGATCAAAATACGGAACAGATGTTATTTAACATCTGTGCCGTAAATATTTTTTTAACATCTTTGTGAAACGCTGAAATTTTTGGAGTTTAAAAAAATTTTGTGGAAGATTTTGAAGTTTTGCTTTGGAGAGGTGCCCTTGGTGTGGGTCCGCCCCCCTTTGCTTTATGATCGTTCCGGCCTCCCTGGGTAAAATTATGGTTTTCTTCAGACGTTTTTATATACCGCTCGCCATACCCTGGATTCCAGATGCTTCGGTGATTTTCCTTGCTAAGTAACCATGGGTTGTAATTTAAGCGCCGGAATCCTCTGGTATAATTAAAATGAGCCCATGCATTCTTCCATTTCTTCGATCGAACCGCGGCAATCACAAAACAAAATCATCGATTTTAGCACAGAATCTGTATTAGACACCTGATTGGTATAGACGTTTCAAAATAGAATAATTTACATATATATTACGGTAAAATATGAGTTTCTCGCTGTTGGCTCTCGGCAGAGGTTAATTCCTAACGATGTTTTCAGGCTCGTTTACACTTGCAATTTTTGCTGCGATTTTAGGTGCGATTTTCGTCTTTTGATGGATGCGAACGAGTGGATAAGTTGTAACTCTTCTACTCGTTCACATGCATTTGAAGGAGAAAATCGCACTAGAAGTCGCAGCAAAAATTGCAAGTGTAAACGGGTCTTTAAGGAAATTTCAGGATAAATACTCCGCTTTAACACTGTCTTTAGTGGGTCTCACAAACTCGACATTCCACAGCCACCCGTACAGAATGATTCAAGATGGCCGCCGTCTTCTGTATTATTTACCCAATGTTTCGTTCCTGGTTAATTAATTAATTAATGCTATTTTAAGGTGGCGTCGTTGAATTTTACTAGATAGCATACTAAAATATTTGTGGTATATATTCTTTGCGTGATTTAAATAAAATCCGGTAATGGTCGATAGGCAAGATTTCTAAGCTTACTGATTCCGAAGGCAGTTTTAGTTTGGCGAACTGCCCTGATAGACCACTGAAATGTTTCGTTTATGTAGTATATGTGGACTCTGTATTTTTGCGTAATTGAACTCCTGTATGAATCTATACAATATAGCTCCATTACTTAAAGTATTCGTAGTTTCCTCTTCGCTTGACCGATAGCAGACACAGGTCAGTTGGTAACATTTATAAACTTACTTGTTTGATTGCGTAGGCGACCGTAGACATTAAGGGCGTAGCCAGCCCCAAACGAGTGGCGGAGGTCTAATCGTTCCGCCGGCTTAGGGGCGTGGTCTCCAGGAAAATTTTCCACGACCCTCCCAAGGGTTTGTTTTTCATCTTTATTTCATGTTTCCTATTTATTGTGCGCGCTTAGATTTAAGAATGATCATGAGCATGAGCATAACTTATATAACGATGAAAAGAAAACTGTAAATAACACCATCCGCAAATTTAATGCTACATTAATAACAAACTTGTATGTATTTCCTGCATTTTCTTATGTTTAGCATTAACAGACATCACGTTTGTTCTACCACCAAATAGAAATCATTTTCAGCCTATGTTTGAACTGAGATTTAAGAAAGAAGACACATGGTATTCTGTTCATGCATCGGAAAGCGGTGTGACAGCATCTAAGGTATGCTGATTATATAGGCCTACTTCGTCATTATATAGTATTCTGGTGTAGTTTTTTTATCATTACTTTATACAATATTTAAAAACGGCTTAATTGAATATAATTTTTTTTATCATTCCTCAATTAAAGAACAACTGTCAAACCATGATGTCGCGGGCTTTTGTTATTGTTTTTATCTTACCCAAAATCAACAAATAGCAATAAAAATACCTTGTTTGGTACGTTTCCGATAAGAATCAGATGAAAGAAGCAAATATCGTAAGGGATTGTTTAAATATACCCGGATTACAAAAAAACGTTTCCAGATTGGTTGATCTACTCCACCCATAAAATGGCCGGCAGCAGGTATTTTCAGCCCGAAATATTATGGTCTGAACACCAATCCTTTGATATAACTGAATCAAAATTTTCATTTAAAATACCTCGCCTATTCGTACCAATAACAAATAATTGAGTTTGATTTTCTAGTTTTACTCTATCGAATTTTCTCGTCATAGGTGATTATTGTAACTAAATTCTTGAAAACCAAGTGCTGAAGTTGTTAAGCCGCTCATGAAGTCTTTACTCAGTCGCAGTCTTAAAATCCACAGGCGGCCCGATCTCGCAAGAGTCAGTATATAGACTTATAGTAATGTATATATATTATAGTAAAAATGTGTCATAAAATATAAATTTTAAAATGAAATTGACTTGCCTATTTGGTAGTGTGTGTTCTCCTTTTATTCCTCTTTTGTTGGACTAATATTTTCCGAGACTTTGCACTCGATGGTACTAGTATACATAATACATGACAAAGGCAAACTACTTACAATCGTCGTCCGTCTGCATGGAATCGAAAATTTTCCCACTCAAATCGCTATATTCTCAAAAACATTTGCTGGCATGTAGAACAGATGCCGTTGTTCCAAAATACGGTGATACTTCGGAGAGATGTACAAGTTTGGACCATATTTTAACAATGGCAATCAAAACCCATTTTATATTGAACTTACAAAGACCGACGCGATTACTACCGCGAATGCTTGGGCAACCAGGCCTCCTTTATCGTTGAAATTTACAGGGGGGTTACATTAATTCGAGATATGATCGTTATATTAAAGGCTAATTTGAAATATGATATATAGACATCATAAATTGTTTTAAATACATTTCTTATTATAACATACGTGCTATATGCACTCCGACAATATGTTGTTTTCCATTTTACTTCCCGCTTTTTGGTATTTGCATGCTGTGGGCATGCAGCGTCCCCCTCCCCCCTGTAAATCCCAACGAGAAAGGAGGCCTGGTTGCCCAGGCATTCGCGGTAGTAATCGTCGGTTTTGTAAGCTCAATATAAAATTTTCGATTCCTTGCAGACGATTGTAAGTAGTTTGCTTTTATCATGCATTATGTATAGCTACTAGTACCATCGAGTGCAAAGTCTCGGAAAATATTAGTCCAACAAAAGAGGAATAAAAGGAGAACACGCACTATCAAATAGGCAAGTCAATTTCATTTTAAAATTTATATTTTATGACGTATTTTTACTATAACATACATTACTATAAGTCTATGCTGACCCTTGCGAGATTGGGCTGTACACAGAGTAACATAATCATAGGTGTCGTGGACTTGTGGTTATAGTGTCTAAACTTCCATGAGTCAAATAATTTATAATGGCACAATGTGGCTGCCTAGTGTAGTGGAGACCAGACAATTGTTATCAACAAGTCCACGATTATTTAAGCGTAAGATCCATCATGATTTTCTATCTTGATTCTTTTGAAATATTTTGACAATAGAATGAGTATCCTATTACTTTGTTTTACAGATTACCGACGGAGCTACATTGTTTGGAGTGATTCAATTTTGGTCACCAAATTCACCATATGTTGCTCTTCGATCCAATCAACAGCAGGGCGATCACAACCTTTATCTGAGCAGTAATGGAGCTGGAGTCATGAAACTGAAACGTTGGAATAAACCAATCCCAGAGTCTCCTTTTACGACCCCAGAAGTCGACCCTGCTTTGTTATTCCGAGTGGTCAGGCCGTTAGACCAGGACTAAACCGCCAACTTGTAAAAGTAGATCTTGTTATGGACTGTAAAATAACTTATAATTATAATTATGAGCTTTTATAATTATAGGTAGCTTTCATCATGCCACAGTTCAATGCACATGGAGGGCATTTAAACAAAAGAACCTTATTAGAATTCATTATTTTAAGTCCATCTGCCTGTTAAAATCTCGTAGAATTCATATATAAACTTTGATATAAATAACTTGTTCTCATATAAAAACAACAATAAACAGGAATATACTTCTGCAATTCGTGTTTTCTTTGACCTACTATATTTTGGCCTTTCTCCACATACTAATGTGTGTAATTCTCTACATACTTTTGAGTCACATGCCTCCTGAACCCGACAATACACGAACCCGACAAAGTTATGAACCGCAACTTCAAGATTTGACAGGGCCGCGATAACGCAGTTGTAGAAGTGGCATATGCCACGGGAGGCGCGCGCCTTCAAGGGGTCCCGCGCTTTACACTGCATGGAAAAAAATAGGGGAAAAAGCCTTACTAGAAAATGCATGCATGCAGAAACC